TATAAATATAGCAAGCTTTGATACTATAATCAGAACACTCAGGTGTTTACTATGAACCCATCTGTTTCTGGGGAGTTTTCCAATGGGAGATTTCTCTTTTTTTTTTAAAGATTTTATTTATTTATTTGAGACAGAGAATGAGAGAGAGAGCACGAGAGGGGGGAGGGTTAGAGGGAGAAGCAGACTCCCCGCTGAGCAGGGAGCCCGTTGCAGGACTGATCCTGGGACTCCAGGATCATGACCTGAGCCAAAGACAGTCGCCTAACCAACTGAGCCACCCAGGCGCCCCTGATGGGAGATTTCTAAGCCTTACTGTGACCTTTCATGCTCATTGGTCTGTTTCTATTTTCACTATATCAGGGTCCATTTTGCTAATGTGCATTTTTACTTGGAAATTACCCATTTCCTCTGCGCTTCCAGTGTTCTCTTATTTGATTTAAAAAATTTTTTAAACTTTTATTTTAAGTACAATTGGCAATGCAGGGCTTAAACTCACGAACCTCAGATCAAGACCTTAGCTGAGATCGAGTCGGACGCTTAACCAGTTGAGCCATCCAGGCGCCCCTCTCTTATTTGACTTTTAATGTCTATTCTGTTTCTCTTTTTTTCCAGAATTGTCACAGTTAATGAGCCAATATTGATATCTTATTATTCACTGAAGTTCATATTGTGTCCAGTTTCCCTCTGTTCTGCCTTTGGGGCTCTAGGGTCCCATGTGGGGCATCACATGATCACGTGGTCATCACGTCTCTTCAGGCTCTTCTTGGCTCTGACAGTTTCTGAGATTTCCCTTGTTTCAGTGACCTTGATAGTGTTGAGGAGGAATGGTCAGAGGTTTTGTGGATTTAGCCCCACTTCTGGGATGGGTGGTTGAGTGTCTCCATCAAGCATTTGGAATTCTTGTGCATTGTTTTCTACTCATTACCAAAAAAAAAAAAATCTATGTAATAAGTTATTTTTACCAGTGTGAACACCTGGGTAGTTATTTTAGGCGTTGGTTTTATTCCAGCAGTAGGGTGTTTGGTTGATAAATTTATTCCTGCTGTGGCACTTTCTGTTGTCTCCTGTTTCCCTTGACCTAATTTCAACTTGGTGGATTTTCATTATTGGTACTTATACTCATTTTCTTTTTTAATTTTATTTTTAAAGATTTTATTTATTTATTTGAGAGAGAGAGAATGAGAGAGAGCACATGAGAGGAGGGAGGGTCAGAGGGAGAAGCAGACTCCCTGCCAAGCAGGGAGCCCGATGCGGGACTCGATCCAGGGACTCCAGGATCATGACCTGAGCCGAAGGCAGTCGCTTAACCAACTGAGCCACCCAGGCGCCCAGTACTTACTCATTTTCTGATACTTCAGGATTATCTTGGTTCCTGTAGTCACTGTCTCAGCCCCTAGAGCCAGCCATCTCTTCCAAGAGCCCTTTTTATAGAGAATGGCATAAAAAACTTATATACCATAGGAACTAAATCTGCTCAGATGACAATGCAAGGAATTATATGCATGTATTCTAGTGAAAATTAGATAAAGGAAACCTTGCTTAAAGTGGAGCCAGGAAGCCTGAAGGGGGCGCTCTGACACGGGTACCACCACTTGGGCCACCACCAGCAGAAAGAACTCGGTATAAGTGATGCCCTTTTTAAAACAGTTTACAACAATACTCCCTAATTTCCTATTTAAACCCAGCACAAACTGACCTTTCCTTTGTCTTTTTGGAGTTGCCTGTAGTTTGCCATAGTTCTCTTGCCCCGAATTGCAGTTCCTCAGCTATTCCCGAAGAAACTCATTTTGCTGGTAAAATAACTGGCAATTCTATCTTTAAGGTTGACAGTTTCTCAGTTGATTGTCTATATTAAGCTCAAGATGAGTTTATACTGATATCTCCAACTGCATCCACTATCACGTGGAGGTTGTAACCTTTTCCCCTTACTTATCTGTAACTTCCCACTCCAAGGGTGATAAACTTGTCGTTAAGAAACAAAATCCCCCTGAGTTAATTGAAAGATCCAGTTGGCTTTATTCAATGATTCATGACTCTGGAAGCATCCTATCTAGCAAATAGATAGCATCTCCATCGAGTTGTAGGAAAGGAAAGGATTTTTAAGGCAGGGAGAGAATGGAAAAAAAGAAATTATTAACAATGAATACGTCATTTTAGGCAAGGTAGCCCTCCTAAGGAAAACAGAGGGATGTATCAGTAAATTTCCTTGTCAGGCCATTTTCGGCCTGTGGTTTTCTTTTTAACCCTTGGCCCCCACCACCTATCATTTATTTAATTCATTGTTCCACTCCAGATTATAGATGTAGTGGTTTCAGAATTGTTAGCTACTATCCCCATGGGAAAGAACTTTATAAGATAGAGTCCACGGGTGCCTAGATGGCTCAGTCAGTTAAGTGTCTGCCTTCGGCTTAGGTCGTGATCTCCAGGGTCCTGGGATTGAGCCCCCGTACCCGGCTCGCTGCTCAGCAGGGAGCTTGCCTAACCCTCTCCCTCTGCCTGCCACTCCCCCTGCTTGTGTGGGCTCTCTCTCTCTCTCTCTCTGTCAAATAAATAAATAAAATCTTAAAAAAAAAAGAAGATAGGGTCCATTGTTTATGTATAGTACATTTTTTTTGTGTGCTTAGTCTACAGATTCCATTCATTTCCAAAGTTTCTTAGGTTGGATTGTTGTGAAATGTTGGAGTCCAGGAGCAAACAGAATTCTTGAGACGTCTTTGATGCCAAAAAGGTGGTTTTATTAAAGCACAGGAACAGGACTCATGGGCAGAAAAAGCTGCATTGAGATTGTGAGGAGTGACTGATTATATACTTTCAAGTTGGGATGGGGTTAGGGATGGTGTAAGTCTCTAAGGAATTTGGAAGCAAGGTTTCCAGGACCTTGAGGGGTCATTTACTACCGTCTAGTAAAACCTTAAGTTATGAAACCCTTCAGATGTGTATCAGTGGGCCATATGTTTAGAGGATAATTGCTAACATATATCTTGAGGGATGGTGGAGGTAAAGGAAGTATTTTTTAAGATTTTTATTCATTTATTGAGAGAGAGAGAGAATGATAGAGAGAGAGCATGAGAGGAAGGAGGGTCAGAGGGAGAAGCAGACTCCCTGCTGAGCAGGGAGCCCGATGCACGACTCGATTCTGGGACTCCAGGATCATGACCTGAACTGAAGGCAGTTGCTTAACCAACTGAGCCACCCAGGCGCCCCGGGTAAAGAAAGTTTCTAAGGGGATTTTTATACGTTGAAGAAGACTTAACAGGATCCTGGTGGTCAGGCTAATGTCAAGCCAAGGTTGCCTTTTGCCCTTGGCAAAGTATCAGTATTGAGGCAGTTGAGTTCCTGGAGGAAGATCACCCTGCTTGTCTTCAGTATGTGTTAATGGGCTGTGATGAGGGAACAGAAGGCTGGCTGAAGACAAGGCACAAGCTGACACCCTGCAACATCCCCCCACCCCCAACTCCTGGGTGGGACATGTGTGACATTCTTCCAGGAATCTCCCAACTATCTTAATGTTAGTACCTTGCTAGAGGGGAAAGCAACCTTAAGTTGACAATGGCAAGACCTCTGGTATCTTGTAGGTCCGTCCTCTTTAGCGTATGAAAGTTCTTTTGAAACCTCCTTTTCCTTCCCCCAACTTCCAGTATATAATCCCCACTCCTCAAGACCCCTGTGCAGCAGCTCTTTCTGCCCATAGTTCCTGTCCCCATGCTTTAATAAGCCACCATTTTGCATCAAAGACGTCTCAAGAATTCTTTCTTGGTCATCGGCTCCAGACAGACCTCACCCCACCGAACCTCACCTATATTCTAAAACCTCATCAGGCTGCAAAGGAAATTCATTTTTTTTTCTGTATTTCTTTTGCCTTTGTTCTCCATATCAAGATGAGGACCTTTTGCCCTATCACCTACAGTCAGTTTTTCCCTTGGAAAAAACTGCCAAACTGCCTTCCAAAGTGGCCGTACATCCATCCCCAGCATGAAAGCTCATTCCTGTCATTCCCCACCCTCCACCAATGGGTGTTCTCATTTTTTGGACTTTAGCATTTCTAATAGGAGAGCAGTGCTATCTCACTGTTGTTCAAATTTGTAATTTCCTAATGATAGAGATGTCGAGCATATTTTTGTATGCTGATTTTGTATTTGTATATCTTCTTTGTGCAGGTATGTGTTCAGATATTTACCCATTGTCAATTAGGGGTTTTTTTTATTGTTGAGTTCTGAGGGTTTTTTGTATGGTTTGAATATAAATCCTTTATCAGGTGTGTGTTTTGCAAATATCTCCTTGCAGTCTGTGGGTTGTCTTTTAGTTCTTTGAGCAAGGTCTTTCATAGTAGAGGTGTTAATTTTATAAAGTTCACAGTATCATTTTTTTTTTCTTTTTTGGATTGGCTTTTGGTGTTGTGTGTTAAAACTCATCACCAAGCCCAAGGTCACGTAGATTCCTTTTATGTTTTCTTTTTGATAATTTGATAGTTGTGCATTTTAAATTTATGTACAATTTTTTTTTTTTTTTAAGATTTTATTTATTTATTTGACAGAGAGAGAGACAGCGAGAGCAGGAACACAAGCAGGGGGAGTGGGAGAGCGAGAAGCAGGCTTCCTGCCAAGCAGGGAGCCCGATGTGGGACTCGATCCCAGGACCCTGGGATCATGACCTGAGCCGAAGGCAGACGCTTAACGACTGAGCCACCCAGGCGCCCTAAATTTATGTACAATTTTGTGTGAATTTTGGTGTAAGTTGTAAAGTTTTGGTCTACATTTCATTTTATTCTATATGCTTTCCAAGTAATTGTTCTTTAAGTATTTCTGGAGAAGCCGGGATATTGTATTCCATTTCAGTTAGGAAGTTCCCAAAATTTATTGGATTCAGCGGGCCCCCGGGGAAGGGGTCGGTGCCTCCCCTGAACTGAGTGCACCGAGTCCTGCACTGCCTCCACTGGTCGCAGGGGGCGCCCGAGCCCAGCTGCCCAACCCGTGCGGCGCATGCGCGCTCAGGCGGCTTCATCTCTGCCTGCGGTACCAGGAGGCCCTCCTCTTCCGGACCCGCTGTGGAGGTTTGGGAGGACGGGGGACCGCCTCCACACCGACAGGAGCCCGGCCTCCTCAGGACCCTCTCTGGGAGCTTCAGGAGGACGTGAGGCCGTGTCCATACCGACAGGAGCCCGGCCACCTCAGGACCCACTGGAGGACGTGGGGCCGCATCCACACCGACAGAACCCGCTGTGGAGGATGTGGGTCCGTGTGTACACGGACAGGAGCCCGGCCTCAGGACCCGCCCCAGGAGGAGAAGGTGAGGAGAAGCCGCCTGAGCTGGGACTGCCAAGGGGGTGCGAGCTCACAGGAAGGGCGCGCTGTGTAGACGGTGGTGTGTCTGTGGCTTTGTGTGCGGTGACGTGGGGTCCCGGGGGTGCTGTGCGCGGAGCTGTCGGGTCTCCCTTTTCTGGGCTCGGATCCGCTCCGGGGGTCCATGCGTCTGTGTTTATGCGCCGCACGGATTCGGTTCCTGGGGCTCCTCCGGCAGTCTGCGGTCAGGGGGCGGCTGCCCGCCGCTGTGCTCGTGCTCCCCCGGCCTCAGCCCTGCGGGGTCCTTCCCTGAGTCCACACCGGCTTCAGGGTTGTCGGTTCGGTCCTGGAAGTTCCGTAGCGCCGGCGCGGACTCTGTAGACGGCTTTGGGGAGAGTAGATATTTTCAGTGTCGGTTCTTCCGTGAGCACAGAGTGTCTTCCCGTCTCCGTGTGTCTCCCTCGATGTCTGTCATCAGTGTCTCATGGGGGGTGTGAGAGAACAGGTCTGTCACCTGTTCAGTATTTCGTGGAGAAGGTGGGGGAAGTTAGGAGGGTTGTTTTGAAGGAAAGTCCACTGGAGAAAAGCAGGGGTTTGGGGTGATGGAAGGTTCTCACCCGCTGAGCTGCAGGGGTGGTGGATTTCTTGGAGGAGATGAAACCTACATCTTCCCCTGTGGGGCCCGTAACTGATGAGTCTCTCCTGTGGGAGCTTCTAATGTTGGTTCTGTAATTGACCCTGAGCGGTAGGCTACCCCCTCCAGCGTCCCCTTCTAGCATCCCCAGTCCACTTTACTGAGGCTTCCCTTCATGCATTTTTACAGTTCTAACCAGTTTTTGGTGGAGCGTTGTGGAAAATTGGAATTCCAAATCCCACTGCTTCTACTACACCCAAAACACAGTGGCCGCCGATTTAATCCTCCCACGAGTCTCTTGCTAACATGTGGCCTCCTACAAGGGCAAGTGGCCTCTCCACGTGGATGAAACTGGATCTGGGAGGGCTTGGCCACCATCACGAAGTTTGGTGTCCCTGCTTCTGTGACCTGGTGCTGTCATGGTTGTTTGGAAGAGTAATTGCGGTGATTTCAAAGTGCAGTAAACCTGTCACCGCGCACAAATACTCTTTATCCCACACTCAGTCCCCCCAGTTGTCGTTTCTTAACCACATTTGTCACTTAACACGGGATGCTTTAGTGTGAAAAAATACTTTTCAAATATACTTTAAGCATACTTTAGAGTACTTATTTTCATTAAAATCATAAATTATGCAAAAAAAAAAAACACCCCACAAAAACCAAAAAACGAAGGGAGTTCTGACACAGGCTACAATACGGATTGAACGTGGAAGTCATTACGCTGAGTGAAATCAGCCAGTCACAGAAGGACAGATACTGTATGATCCCACTTATATGAAATATCCAGAGACACAAAGTAGAATGTGGCTGCAGGGGCGGAGGGGAAAGGGGAATGGGGAGTTGGTGTTTCAAGCAAGCACCTCTCCCTCATGGAGAAGGAAAAAGTTCTGGAGAATGATGTACAACCATGTGAATTCAGCTAAGGCCAGAGAACTGTGTACCTGAAATGTTTTAAGTGGTCAGTGTTATTTATGTTTAGTCACAGTGAAAAAATGAAGGACTGATACATGTCACAACATGGATGGACACTGAAAACAGCCCCAGTGACAGAAGCCAGACAGAAAAGGCCACCCAGATTGGAAGCATTTTGCTCTTTACATCCATCAAGGTTACCCAAATAAGGGAAAGTCTTGGGAGCAGTTCCAGAAACAGAAAACTGGATCTGAATGGAAAAGGACATTTCAGACCGTGGGGCAGGTGGTGCCAGTTGAAGTGGGCCTGTGGTCTGAGTTACAATGTGGAAACCGCCTTTGTTTCCTCATTTAGTGTTATGTAGTGGTTCCAAGGAAAGAGTGTCCCTGTTTTGGGTAAAACACACTGAAGCATCCCGTGAAAGTATTTTTTCTTAATAACACTTTATTTCTTTTTTACCTTTTTATTGTTATGTTAATCACCATACATTACATCATTAGTTTTTGATGTAGTGTTCCATGATTCATTGTTTGTGCATAACACCCAGTGCTCCA